CATTTTTTTCTGCAACCTCTTCAGCCGAAGAGGTTGTAGAAAAAAAAATGCCTTTAAAAGCCTCTGGCGATCCCAGCTAAGTTGCCTGATTGTCAGAGGCTTCTAAAAGCATTTTTTCTGTAACCTCTTAAGGTTGTAGAAAAAAATGCTTTTAAAAGTAAAAAAAAAAAAGTTGGCCACGCCCACCAAGTCACATTACCCCCCCACCAAGCAATGCCCACAGAACCAGTAGTAACAAATTTTAGATTTCACCCCTGCACAAAACTCATCACAAGACTCACTGACAACTCACAGCTGACCCATCACAAGACCTGTCACAAGATCCTTACTTGACACACCCACACCTTATAAATAGAACACTGACATGGACATCCCCTAAACTCTGCTGAAGATGTTACCTGACCTGGTAATGAAACACTCAGAAACCAACCCACAAGCTCAGAGAATGAACCTTTACCCTCATTCTAGATTGTCTTCAAGAGGAATCGTATGTAAAGCACATTGCAGTCATTCAAACAGGAAGTGACCAAAGCATGAACCAGGTCCCCAGTCGAGGAAAGAACACAATTGGTGCACAAGCAGAAACTGTGTGAAGGTGTTGTGGCCCACCTTGGACGAGGGCTCTGCATCGGAGGCAGAGAGGGAGCTAGACAGCAGCAAGGCAGAGGAACAGCTGGAGCCTGTTCCCTGTATGTGCATGCACAGAGCTGCCAGAAGACAAGAATGACTAAGAAAGCAGGGTCGACTTGGGAGTAAAGCCACACTTTGGAGGTGATTGGCAAAACAAAAGAGGAGCAAATGGGGAGTGGGCTTTTTCAGGAAACAACTCGTTCGGTCAGTTGTTTCAAGTGTGGAAGGTTCTTTTCTTGACTCTAAGAGACTCTGTGCCAAGTTTTGCTTTACTCTGCATTTGGAAACTAGTTATCTGGCAGCTTTCCAAGCAAGGTAAGGTTTGTGTTGATAAATATTCCTTTGAAAAACTGTTTGGACAGGCCTTGCTGACTGTGAATGAAAGGAATTCCCAGTCATGTAAATAAAAGGGGTTTTGCCAGGACCAAGACTCTGCTTTATGCTTTTTAAGGAAGCCTAGGTCAGAACTAAAGGCTTCTCTAGCTATTCTGACCTAGGCTTCACCAGCAGCACCAAGCTGAGTCCTTGTCCCAATAAACCCTTTTTATTTAATTTACAGTGAATTGGGAACAAGCTCCACACTGGGAACAGGCCCCAGCTGTTCATCTGCCTCACTGATGTTTGACTCTGAAGGTAGCTGATAACTGGCATTTGGCCCTGGCCCCCTCTCTGCCTCCGATGCTGAGCCCTCGTCAGAGCCTTCCCCAGACTCCAGGACTGGCCCATGTTCCTCCCCAACCTCCTCACTGTCCAAATCTGCTGCCAGATCCACTGGCCACTGGCAGGCCACAACACTAGCTAAGGCTGCCCCATGAACAACTGAGCTGCAGCTATGAGTCTAGGACCCTCAAATTGTTCAGCCTTTCCATCCAGGGGAGTATCATTGCAGCCAGAGTCTCAAATGACTTATCAATAGATTCTGAGGACAGGGTGAGAAAGCCACTGCATCATGATAGACTTGAGTCAAAGTTGATTTGGGTGAACCAAAAGCATTGATCTGAAATCATTCCTCAAGTTACAAACAATTCGGATGTTCTTAACAAAGGTAAACTTGGAAGGACACTTCCAAACTGGCAAGAAAAGAGAGATTTCTTTGCCAAATCCTCCATGTTCTTCCATCTCTTCCTACCTCATCCTTCAAAATCTTTTTTCTTAATCAGCCTATTATGGAAGAAATTGGGCACCTTGAAAATGATGAACAACCAAATTGTCAACCTTAAATGTGTCTCTTTTAATATGCACATTGATCAAAATGCTCTGGATCAATCCAGTACTCTTTACTTTGGTGTCACTCACCTTCCTGACTGGAGATGGTCCCCTTGGGACAAGGAACACAGTCAATGCAGCAAATTGGCTCTCCTTCTTGAGCTCGTTTCACAAATCCAGGATGGCATTTTTCCACACATTTGGACTGAGGCAGAGACTAAGAAGCAAAATGCCGAAGTAAATGTGTTAGGACTAACCACCAAAGGATAATGGAAGTTTACATGAACATTAGTCAAAAAGTTTCTGGGCTTCACTTAGCTAAATTAAAAAAAAAATTTAAATGGTTCCCTACAATTGTAAGAAATATAACTATTGGCAGATTTGTTTTATTTAGTTCCTTCTTTTGTTTCTGACATATCACATTGCAGTAAATGATTTTTCCACTTAATAAAGCCTGGCGGGACGAAATTGAGAAAGATTTAAGCTTTAAGTTAAAACCAGTAGGTTCCTTCTCATGGCCTTATTAAGATGCATTCATCATGTCTTCATATATCTATGATTTAAAATATAATTGTCCATTTATATTCATTTAGAATTTGATTTATTCTATAAAATATATTATTTTTTTTATTATATTGGTTTTATTAAAAGAGAATAAATTGAGATAAAAAATAAACACCTAGGACCTGGAAGGTAGGTAGGTGTGTGTGTGTGTGTGTGTGTGTGTGTGTGTGTGTGTGTTTTGTTTTTTTAACTAGAGCCGAGGTGGTGCAGTGGTTAGAGTTCAGTACTGCAGCTACTTCAGCTGACTGCTAGTTCAGCAGATCAGCGGATCAAATTTCACCGGCTCAAGGTTGACTCAGCCTTCCAGCCTTCCGAGGTGGGTAAAATGAGGACCCAGATTGTTGGGGACAATATGCTATTTAGTATACTGTCAATTGTTATAAGCCGCCCAGAGTCCTCGGAGAGTGGGCGGCATCGAAATATGAAAAATGAAATAATAAATAAATAAATAAAATAAACTATGTAAAGAATTGCAAAGCCACTTCACTTTGAAAATTGTCTAAAAGAATCTCCCAATTAAGATATAAGAGCCGAGGTGGTGCAGTGGTTAGAGTGCAGTACTGCAGGCTACTTCAGCTGACTGCTAGCTGCAGTTCAGCAGTTCAAATCTCACTAGGCTGAAGGTTGACTGAGCCTTCCATCCTTCTGAGGTGGGTAAAATGAGGACCCAGATTGTTGGGGGCAAGATGCTGACTCTGTAAATCACTTCGAGAGGGCTGTAAAAGCACTATGAAGTGGTATATAAGTAAGTGCTATTGCTATATATGAGAAATTCCAAGATATTTGTTTATTTGTATATTTATTTAGTCCCTTCTAGGACACATGATGTCACCACATTATTTCAGATCAGACCAGTCATTATGATTTCATGTGAACTAAAAACCTTGGACCTCCTTCTTAGGAACAGAAGGCTTATTGGGGTGAAAGAGAGACATAGATAACTCAGGAACCAGGTCTGGGTTCCTTAAGGACATCAATGTTGTGGCCTGCCAGTGGCCAGCGCAGCTGGTGGCAGACTTGGACAGTGAGGAGGTTGGGGAGGAACATGGACCAGTCCTGGAGTCTGGGGAGGACTCTGATGGGTGCTCTGCATTGGAGGCAGAGATGGGGCCAGGGCCATTTATCAGCTACTTTCAGAGTCAGAGATAAGTGGGGCAGAAGAACAGCTGGAGCCTGTTCCCGATGGGCAAATGCGCAAAGCTGTCAAGAGAAGGGAACAATTAAGGAACAGGGGTCGACTCAGGAGTAAAAGCACAAGTGGCTTCAGGAAGCAGATAAGGTCATTAGGACTATGAGCTTGGCCATTTGCTCCTTAGATCCATGAACCTCTTGGCTTGTTAGTGACCTAGGGCAGTGTCATGTGAATGGGTCCTAGTGGAAGTCAATGGTTCTTTGAGTGAGGGGGATTCAGGAGCAGGTATGGGATAGAAACAACATTGGGATGGAGGTTGAACATCCACCCTTGCCGTACATGACCTATCTGTGGCTTTGGATAACTTTGACCCATGGTATCCTTCTTAATCATCTCAGAGAATTTGTGCTAGAATCAGAATTGAAGAAGCTTCTTGGGTGAGAATCAAAATGTCTTCCTCAAGGAAAAAAACATAGTCCAATTGCCTTTTGAAAAAGTACCTTTGAGATCACCATGACCTGGATTGGATTGTGCTGATGATATTATCTAGTTTGGGTAATGAAACATCTGCAAGAAAATAACCAAGCTCAGAGAGCACCAAGGGCCCCTCAGGAGAAAGTCTTTGACTTGGGGGCCATCTTGGATTCACAGTTCTGCTGGAGGTGCAGAAGGAGGATGGGATGAGGGAACTCTGCCCAGTCAATGGTGGCTTTTCATCTCCACTTGGGTAATGGACTCTCTATGGTGCTGCCTTTAAAAACCCTCTGGAAACTTCAGCTGATGCTGGATGCAGTGGTTTGGTTGCTCAGTGGCAGTTCAAACCCTGCTTTGGTTGCACATCAGCATCCAGCTGCAAGGAAAAGTGCTTGAAAGGCACAAGGCTAGCAATATTTAGAGTTGGTCTTTTGTGAGATGTATGAATGTCTTAGTCAACATTCTGGTGGACATGCCACTCTGGAGGGAAAACATCATTTTCTCATATTCCAAGTGTGTTGATTCCTTTTTTGTATTTTATGTGTGGGATTTAGAGGTGTCACATTGCATAAACTAGAGACTTCCCATCATGATGGAATTGGTTTTTAATTGAATCAATTGCCAATATTTGCTTTTCCTAAGGCAAGTAGTGCTGTTATCAGTTTTAGCCTGGCTGTCAATTATGGTCTGAAAGGCACTTTAGCTGCTGTCAGAGTGAATAATTAGTCAAATTAATTCTTAAAATGTTTCAGAGTCATTGGCAGTAGCTGAACACCAAACTTCTCTGAATGACTTTCATGGAGTTCTTTTTAGAAAATTTATTTTGATGAAAGGGAAGGGAGTTACAAGAATTCAGCCATTTCCCACTTAGAAACATCTACAGTACATTTGATTTTCTTTGACTCCGGCATACAATCAGATTGGACATAATTAATATTTTCTTTCAAATATAGGGAAGATTTGCAATTATTCTGATATCATAACCGTATTATGTCTAATGTTTTGCATTTATTCTGGCCGTAAGATGCTCTTTTGTATTCAGGTCCGGCCTTACAATAATAATGTAGCACTTGGGCATGAAGATGCAGCCCATCAGACCAGCACTGGAGGCTAAGATGGAGAAGACCTGCACAGCCACCATGTATTTTCCTTTGGTGCTCAGATAGGTTGGGACAAAAGTCACCCAGACACTGCAGAAGATCAGCATGCTGAAGGTGATCAGCTTGGCTTCATTGAAGGCCCCAGGCAGGTTCCTAGCCAGGAAAGCTACTGTGAAGCAAATGGCAGCTATGAAACCCATATAGCCAAGGACAACATAAAACATGGTGACAGAGCCTTCATTGCATTGAAGGATGATTACTGCAGGCTGAGAATGGAAGTCAGAATCAGGGAAAGGGGGAGAAACTGCAAGCCAGATGGAGCAGATGATAATTTGGATAGCAGAACTAGAAAGGATGATGGAGTTGGCCAAGCTCTTCCCTAGCCACCTCTTCACTCTGTTTCCTGGCTTTGTGGCCAGAAAAGCCAGCACCACCGTGATTGTCTTGGCCAAGAGAGAAGAAATGGCAACTGAAAAGATGATGCTGAACACTGCTTGTCGGAGAAGACAGGTGGCTTTCCTTGGTTGACCAATGAAGAGAAAAACAGACAAAAAGCAAAACAGGAGGGAGACCAGGAGGATGTAGGAGAGGTCTCGATTGTTTGCTTTGACAATGGGAGTTTCTAGGTATTTGATGAAAACAATTAAAACAAGGCCTGTGGTTAGGAACAAGAAGAGGGCAAAGGAGACCAGGAAGATTCCCAGATGTTCCTCATAAGACAGAAAGACTATTCTTTTAGGGATACACTGGACTCAATCCTCATTTGGATATTTATCATATGGACACTGGATGCATTTTTCTGTGTCTGGGGAAAGAAAAAGTAATGTTTCTGTTATATTCTGACCTTTCAAATTTCAAGAAACACCTTCTGTGGATGAGAGCTAATTGTTGAGCCCGATATCAGCTCGACATATTCGTTGGAGGGAGAGGCATCCAAGGCCGACAAAAGAATCTACAGAAATCAGTGGGGATGGTTATTAGACACTTGGGGTAGTAGTGGTGATGGGTTCATTAGGTTCTGGTGGTGGCAGATCAGAAAAGCCGAGACTAATACTGAGACAGGAAAGGCATAGTAAATGGTAAATATGAGTCCACATATATTTCCTTTTTTATTTAAAATGTTGGTCTAGCTGCCCATGTTTAGCCAAATTTAGGGCATCCTACAACCCAGCAAGCCCCCTCCTCCCCAATATACACAAGTATAAAAATAACAATGAAATAAAACTCAAAAGAGAAAACTGATGCCCGAACCACCCTTCAGTGATGCAGCCCACCACATTCTCATCCTGCACTGACTTCATCTTGTCCAAATGTCTGGGAGAAGAATCAGGTATCCTGAAGGTTAAGAGGGTGGAAGCCTGTTGGATTTCAAGGAGGAGGGTTTTAAATAGGGCAGGAGCTTCAGCAGAAAAGGCATGCTTCCGAGAACCCACAAAGTGGCAATATTTTAGGGAACACACCTGAAGTATTCCATTTATTTATTTATTTATTTATTTATTTATTTATTTATTTATTTATTTATTTATTTATTTATTAGTTCAATTTATATGCTGCCCTCCTCCAAAGACTCAGGGCGGCTTACAATGCACTTATAGCAATAGCCTTCATTCTTTTGTATATACCTACTTATTAGGGCTTTTCGCCCCCCATAAGCGGTGTTTCTACAAAGTCACCTTATTGCCCCCACAATCCGGGTCCTCAATTTACCTACCTAGGAAGGATGGAAGGCTGAGTCAACCTTGAGCCTGGTGAGATTTGAACTCGCACTAATTGCAGGCAGCTGGCAGCTAAGTGCTACATAACAGCACTTAGTCCGCTGTACCACCAAGGCTTTATATTATATTAGCTCTCATGGGACAAGTTGACAACCTCGAGGAGGGGAAGTACCATACATACCCTAGTCCTATGCCATTCTATGCCAGGGCTGACATAGGTGAGTTTAATAGCAGTTGGAAAGGAATTGGGAGGCTGTGCAGTTTCCACAACAGGGGTGTAGTATGGAAGAAGATAGGGAAACATGTGCCTGTTATTGCATTCTGGAATCTTTATCATTATCCCATCTGCAATCTTTAAAAGCAATCTGATATAGAGCACATTGTAGCATTTCAAATAGAAAGTAACCAAAGTATGATCAACGAAAGGGCACACGGTCTGTATAAATCTCTAGACATTGCTGCCCCCTGCATATCAAGCTGTAGGCTCTAACCTTAGAAGAATGCCCAAATTGTGCACCACATCCATCCAGGGGAGTGCCACTCCATTCAGAGTCAGAGATGGCTTATCAATAGGCATTTGGTGGGATAAAAACAGAAAGTTGATATACAGTAATAGGAACACTCCACCTTGCTGGGGTTGAGAATCAATGTCTGTTACTCCCCCATTCAATCCACACAGTTTCCAGGTACTCAACCAGCACCACAACAGCGCCATCTACATGGTGATGTACTGATGATACCACACACTGTGGTAGCAAATGATTTTACGTGGCAGTTTCATGTAGATGATAACGATGAAATGAGAAAGACCTAAGTTTTGAGAGATGCCCCATTGCAGGGACCAAGGTATGACCTCTGTTGACTAATAACACCAAATGAAAACATCTGTGATGAAAGCAGAACCATTGCAAAACAATACCTCCCACTCCCCATCCCCTGAAGCCGGGAGGATGCTATGAATGATGGTATCAAAATCCACTGAGAGATCCAGAAGGGCCAGGTTGGTTGCAGCTTTCCCATCCAGAGTTCTTCAGAGTTCATCTGCAAGAGCAACCAAGGCCTTCTCGATACTGTATCTCAACCATGAGCCTGGGTATTGTACCTGAGAACCAACCATGCACTCAACAAACTTCCCTAAAAATGTTGGCCCTCCAAGGTCACTTCCAATTTTGTTATTCTGTTTTATTCTAAACAAATCCCATCTCTCACACTCTCATCCCTCAATTAATTTTATATTGAGTCCTCTGTTTATCCCTTGAACCCAGACAATCTCCCTCCATCAGCCTCCCAATAATATATTTCTGTGTATGTGGTTCTATGTCAGAATCTATGATCTTAATAAAAATGGATTGATCAGTTGATTGATGGATGGATGCTTTTTTTTTTCACCTGTTAGGTAAAGCTTGTGTGGTTTGTGAACAAAAGTCATTGACCAGAAAGCATTCCTCAAGTTTAAAAGAATCCAGATATTCCTAAGAAAGATAAACATGGAAGGACACTTCCAAGCTGAAAAGTGGAAGAGATGGTTCCTCTGGAAGAAATAACTTGCTCAATGCACCATGTCCTTCTATCTCTTCCTACCTCAACATTCAAGATATTTTACTTTATTTCTCCCATTATGGAAAAAATTGGGCATCTTGAAAATAAAGAACAACAAAAGAGCTTAGATGCATCTTTTAACATGCACATTAATTGAAATGTTCTGGATGGATCGAGTTCCTTTTCTCCTAATGTCACCGACCTTCCTGAGTGGAGATGGTCCCCTCTGGACAAGGAACGCAGTCATAGCAGCAAACTGGCTCTCCTTCTCGAGCCCGCTTGACAAATCCAGGATGACAATTTTCCACACATTCAGACTGAGGCAGAGACTAAGCAGAAAAAACAAGGATTGCCAAAGAAAATACATTAGGACTCACCATCCATCGGAGATGTAAAAAAAAGACCATTAAACAAGTAGTCTCTGGGTTTCACATGGGTGACTGAACTTTCTAGGTAAAGATAAAAATTTTCCCTATTCAGTCATATCTGATTCCAAGGGGTGATGTTCATCTGCATTTTTTGGCTGAGGGAGCCATCATTTGTTGAAAGATGTTTCCATGGTCATGTGGCCAGCATGGATATACTCCGAGGTGCACAGAATACTGTTACCTTCCCACTTAAATGGTATCTATGTATCTGCACACATTTGCTTCTGTTATGTACGGATTGGCTAGAATCTGCATAAGGTTTCATGCTCACCGCTGATTGGCTGTCCAGACCATGGGAGATTTAACCTGCTGTCATTGGCCGGCTGGTCTGCCTGGAGCTCTTTAAAAAGGCAAGCTCCGGCAGCCCAGCCGGCAGAGCGCAGTCACATTTTGCTGGAAATAAGGGGACACTATTCCAAACCAGGACAAGCTGAATCCTAATTCCATAGTTTTTTTCCACTAGGACCAGCGAGGCCACGTCCAGTTTTGATTCAATTTCATCAGATTCATTCCAAATCTAAACTCAGATACTGTTCAACAGAATTGCCTTCTCCTTTGCTATTTGAGGACAAGAAATATATGAAACTAGTGTTATCAGCACCGCAACCCCCAGCACTTGAGGGCCTCCCTCACAGGTATTACGGAGATACCAGACCGACACAAAGGAACCATGATCTGTGTCCCAAATCACTCAGCATCCCATTGGACAATGCTGAATCAGCTTAAAACAGTATTGCGTACTATAGCATCTAACATATTATATATTATTATATTATTATTCATATTAATCATATTTCTATGCTGCCCACTCTCCAAGGACTCTGGGTGGCTTACAACAATTGACAGTATACTAAATAGCATATTGCCCCCAACAATCTGGGTCCTCATTTTACCCACCTCGGAAGGATGGAAGGCTGAGTCAACCTTGAGCCAGTGAGATTTGATCTGCTGATCTGCTGAACTAGCAGTCAGCTGAAGTAGCTGCAGTACTGCACTCTAACCACTGGCTACAGGCACCTTGGTAATAGTACGGAAGCTCCCAAGTAGTCTAAGAATACAATAAGGTTTCTACTCCTCTCATTTAATTATCAGAGAAAGTCATCCAGCTAGATGACTAAACTTAATCCATTTCCAATTTGTCCTAAGGCTATGGAAAACAGAGAAAAGACACCAATGTTTCTTACACCTTGTTAAGCAACTTCAGCCATGTGAGAGCATCTTCGTTGATAATAAGTTTCTTCCTTTCAAAGCTACCCAATTTCTCTTCAATTAAATCCTCATCAGGGCGAACCACCCAGATCATGATATTCAAATCTGCTGCTACATCTCCACTCTGGTCCAAGTATAGTTTCTCCTTGGAAAGATTGTAAAATTCATTCTTTTCCAGAAAGGGGTGGAACTAGAATAGAAACACCCAGCAGTTTTAAAAGCAGAAGTCTTCCCCCTCCACACACACACATTTGAATATTTCTTCTATGGTTGTCTTATTTGCAAGCATTGTGAATTGAGAAGACACATGGTACTACTAAGTATTGTGCTCTGCCAGCAGCCTGAGGAGCTGGCAGTGGAATCGGACAGTGATGAGGCTGAGGAAGAACATGGGCCAGTCCTGAAGGCTGGGGAAGGCATGGATGAGGGCTCTGCATCAGAGGCAGAGATGGGGCCAGGGCTATTGGGGAGTGATGTGCAGACTTTGGAGCCTCCAGAGGCTGACAGTAGAGAGGCAGAGGAACAGGAGGAGTCTGTTCCTAGTGCATGTATGAGAAGAGCTGCCAGAAGGCAGGAGCAGATAAAGCAGAGAGGACGACTCAGGAGTAGCAATGGCTCTTGGACTCTTTGCCGGAAAACAACGTTGAGAGATTGGCTTCTTGTTTTGCTGTATTTATTTCTTGTCTGCATCTTTTGCTTCTGAACTTTTGCCAAGAAAAATCTTTGGCAGTTTGCCTAATTTATATCAAGGTTGGTGATAAACTGAGGAATGGTGTTTTGAAGAATTTGCTTTAATTTAGTTTGGACTATGCTGAGAATGAGTTAATTCTCAGCTGTTCTAATAAAGTCTGTTTGCTTTCGAACTGTTTGCGTTTAATACTAACTACTTGGGCCTGGGTCACAACACTATCTTCCAATGTGCTGAACAAAAGTTCAGCAAAATTTGTGGATCATATATTGAGAAAATATAATTTACAATATTATATTATTATATATAATATAATAAGTGCACGCCCAGCGAACCAGTTGTTATACTGGTTGAATCCCACCACTGAATAAATAAATATGATATTAATCACAAAACCATACATTCAGGAATTTATTTAAAAATGCACACATCCAATTTAAAATTAGCAGTTCACAATATCAAAATATATTTCTCATAATGCTCAGTCTTTGGAACATTTCTCTCCCAAGCAATTAGATTGGCCAAACCTGTTGGCTTTTTGTAGCACAAGTTGGTTGACATGGTTCCCCTCACTCTCCTTCTCTAAAGCTTCTATAAGTTTGATAGATCCCCATACCTGCCACGGCTGCAGCCTTGGAGCCCCCAATCTCTCTTCACCCTCCTTACTTCTCCTCCAAGATCTGGAGGAATATGCAGCATTCAAGGCATGGGCCAGAGTCATAACACTGTAAACATGATGGTTATTTTGAATCACGAGCCTGCCGCTTTTGGCTTTGATATCCAGTGGTGCTTTCTGAGTGCATCGTGCCCGGCCTTTAATAGAAAAGACTTGTTTTGAAAAAGAACAGTTAAAAGCCTTATCTTTGAAATCAGTATTAATGTAGAAAAAGGGTTTAAAGGCATCATGGTTTTGCCCTTCTTTTGTCTGGATAATGAAGAACCAAATGCTATGGATGTATTGTAACCAATGCATATAAAATATTCTTCCAATTTCCCGCAACGCTGTGGTGATCCAGACTTTCCCTTCAATAGGTGCTGGTAACTCTTCAAGTGTGAGATGTAGAGTGACCATTCCTTGTATGAGCCAACCAATTTCTAAAAAGTACACAAAGACATTGACCTGTCTCAACTTAGAAAGGCCTTCAGTTAAGGAGTATGCACCTCCACTCAATGAGAACCTTTGTGTCACAACAGCGCAAATTCCATTCCTGACAAGCAGAGGAGTCAAAGACCTCAGGAAATTCTCTGCCTTGTCTGTGTCTGAGGCAACGAGACCGATCAAAGTCCATCTGAAATGGAGGAGCAGTTGGACAATCGCTGGGAATTGGATTCCTTCTTTGGGGGCCATCCGGTGGAAAAAAGGGAATTGAGTTTTATCACTCAGAGCCTCTGAAACAATTTTATAAGTGACCTGAAAAAGGAAAGGAAAGGATTATGTATTATATTATGGGTCAAACCAAGACTATAATATTAGTCTGCATAAATCCAATTTGGCATTCAAGGACTCATTTGCTCATTTATTTATTTATTTATTGGTTTGATTTATATGCCGCCCTTCTGCGGAGACTCAGGGCGGCTTACAATGCGTTAAGCAATAGCCTTCATACTTTTGTATATACCTGCCTAGTAGGGCTTTCGACCCTCCCTAAGCGGTGTTCTTTTTATACAAAGTCAGCTTATTGTCCCCACAATCCAGGTCCTCATTTTACCTACCTCGAAAGGATGGAAGGCTGAGTCAACCTTGAGCCTGGTGAGATTTGAACTTGCAGTAATTGCAGGCAGCTGGTGTCACTTAACAGCACTTTAGTCTGCTGTGCCACCAAGGCCCAACAGATTGTCTCATGTAGACAA